GGATTAGAGAGCGCGCTCGTGAGAGAGACGCAGACTGCATCGCGGATGCGAGAGCTCGCCTTCCACATTCTAATCCCTATAAATCAGATGTTAGTTTCGTAACACTTCACGGGAAAACTAACGATAAGCAAGATATCTAGCAGTTCCGCAAGATTTTGTTTACTGTTACATAAGTGGAAACGTAAAGCGGATGCTTCCATAGGACTTATTACATAACGCTGCGAAAAGTTCGAAAAATGCCAGGTTTCTGCAGCCCATTGGCCTGTCAGTACTTCCGTAGGTTTTTGAATGTATTGTCTCTTGAGAAAAGAAAGGCCAAACTAGGCATTATCGAACATGTCATTCGTAGTGTAGAGGATAGTAAGTGTTGCAGTCATAAAGCAAGGCTCGAATCTCGCTTAAGTGTTTCTTTAGCTGTTGTGATTCGCAATCTTCGGACCTTTCGCAGCACCTCATTTAGGAACTTCCGCAGCACGTTTATGGAACTTTTGCAGGCGACGGCGGAGTTTTCCCAAACGTTCTGCGAAAGTTCCCGTCAGTCGTCTGAGTAAGCATTTTTTGGTGTGAATAACCTACGTTCTTCTCGCATTTCAAGGAATTGTCTTCAAGGCAGTTGAATATTTTCAAGTATTTTGACAATGATATGTGCATCGCAGTGTAGTTGAGAATTGACCCTGCAAACATGATTACAATTCAAAAAACAATGTTAGGATAAGCACATACTTTCATTTTTTGGCTCTGAGATCAAACATAAACAGAAGTTTTTGACGATATTGTTTTCTACGCAAGATCTGTTGGTCGGTATTGGTTCGAAGAGACTTTTACCTGAAAATCAGTAAGAGGCCTGAAAAGGGTAACTGATACGAAAACCAAGAATGAAAGAACAACCAGCACCTCTTTGGACAGGTCGATCAGTCTCGAGTCGATTGTCAATAATATCAAGCAATGTTTCGTGTAGATCAAAATTGCTGAACTGAGATCTTTGAAAGAAGTGGGTAGCGAACTTTTACGAAAGGCTAAGAAACCAACGAGGTAAAACGTTGCGTGTTCTCTCG